TTTACGGCCGAGCTTGGCAGGCAAATTCGAGTCGTACAAGGAATCCGGATCGCCCGATAGCGTACCTCTTATACGGAATTGACGCTCATGGGACTACCACCCGCATTCGTAGCTGTGAATATAGAACATGCACGTGGATGACGACATACACCTGCAACATTGGGTGTTGCAGGCTGCTTATCGTCAGAAGCAGGCGATGGAACTCCTGCTGCGAAGTCTTGGATATCTTGTTTGCTAGATGTACGGATTTTTTTTAGCCGCTATAGATGCACCCTTGCTTGCGCAGCGCACGGACGAACTCTTCACGTGCTGAGAATTTACAATGAGAAGGGAAAGACCAAAAAGTTGTCCCTTTCCTCAGAGCGACAAGACGGTCGTTGCTCTTTCAACAATCTATCGAATCACTGACTAAAAGTGGCTGATGCTTGAGGGGGTGATGAAACGGGATAAGCCTTTTAAATAAAGCTGATACACATGTATCAACTTTTCAATATTATCTGTTTATTTAATATTAATTTTTTGACTTGCAATAGGTGGTGTTGGCGGAATGTTACCGCCGAGGATAATATTAAAGGGGGCTCCACTTTTATTTGCTGCCAACATTACAATGGTCAAATTACCCACCAATCGCTTCTGGACGCGTGTAATGTGTTGGGAGCAAGATGCTCACATAGGAAATTGTAGTTTAATGTAGTTAGATCAAGACAGAGATAATTTACAAAATAAACCTACGGGATATTGAGTTATGTTCTACTTTTTCTTGAAACAGAATCTTAAGTTCTGTTTACCTTACTGCGCTTCCTCACATCACGTGTACGTGACGTCGGGATCAAGCAGCCTTGTGTTCAGTCTAACAGCTTTAGTGCTTCTGCAGGTAGCACACCTTGGCAATGGTCGCGAGGAAGTGCGTAACAAGAAGTAAATATCCAAGTAAGATTTCTGTCTTATCTCTTGCATATGTAAACCATGGGCAACGTGCTTGTAGCACGAGGAGGAACGTTTTCACGGAAAACATCTTTAACCGTCATGACTCCTGCCACCCCATCAATCGTCACTCATCAATCAGTAGGTCGCACAATACTTGAAGTCACAGGCCACTCCCGGTCTCTCTTGTCGAGTACAGGTAGTTAGACAGAATCGTGAGTGTCCATTCCATCACAAGGTATTGCCAAAACTCCCTTAAAACGTACGCTTTTAGTCTTCACGCGTCGTCTTGGTGTTTGATCATTTCCGGTACACTTGTCACTTCTATTCGTTGCCCTTACTTTTCAAATCTTTGGGGTCCGAGAGCTTTGGTGAAGATTTCTGCAAGATTGTCTTCGGTGACGACATACTGGATCGTGAAAACCTTTATTTGACCATTTCTGCAATTTTGCTTTTCTTTGCGCACCGAATTTCTCCTTCATAGTGCCGACAATGGAGCAGATCACTAGCTTGCTTTGATTGTCCCTTTGTTATTTACTAGGTGCAAATTTCAAATTGAGCTCTGCAATTTAGATTGCAAGACCACTTGAATTACTTGACGCACATACTAGCGGCAAAAAGTTCCGAGTTGCACGTATCATCTTTTGCTTTTTTTGTGCCTTGCACTTAAATCGAAAGCTCCATCCGTTCAATTGATATAAAAAAACCAGTCACTCATTGTTGGGTGTCCGAAAAATTTGATTAGTCAGCATCACTGTAGGCAAATACCTCTAAGTCATCTCATGGCATGACTTTTTCTCGACGATATCACAATCCGAATGTTCTTGTTTCGTTCAGATACCGAAGTACTAGCTTCGCTCTCGAGCAATTCTCCGTAGTATACGTGTGTGTGTGTCGACCGAGACTTCGCACTGCTTTGGCGATATCTGGTAGGTTGCACGTCACCAAATAGTTGAGATCACCAACTAACTCCCGGTATATAATGTTAGCGTCATTGAACTTGGTGACGTCCGTCTCCTACGCCAGCATCTTTTCGTTTTGCTGTTGTGGTGACCGTACGGGCTGGGCATGCTCCATTTTAAATTGCTTCAGCATGCAATCAATTTATACTGTCTGACACAGACACATCATCATCCCAGGAGCGTACTTCAATTCTAAATTGAGCAGGTACGATACGCGTCCTAGGTCCTTCAAAGCAAACCATTTACGGAAGCTGTCAACAACTACATCGATGCTGTTTAAAGTTTCTATTTTCAGCATTTCATCAACATAGACTGATCAAGAACAATCCTCCCTTAAGCATATTTAGAGTAAAGACCACGTCATATGCGCACCGTTGAAACCCTTGTTCCACCAAGCGAGCGTGCAAAGTCTGATACCAGAGCCTTCCCGCCTGCTCCAGACCGTACAAAAAAATTTTCTTAGGAGACAAAAACGTTCAGTGTCGTCATCGAAATGTAGGCAAATATTTCCATATCGATGGTCACACCAGACAACCTACTAAAAGAGACGTATTTTCAATGTCGATATGCCTTGATTTAAACGCTGATAACATCGAAAACAGCAACATCAAGATTATCGTTTGTATCCGAATAAAGAATGATATGTCCTGTCGTATTCCAACCCAATCGCTGTTTTAAACCGTGAATAACAAGTCTGGCCTCGTAGCGCAAGATCTTGCCGTTCTCAGCCCTTTTGATACGAAGAACCCACCGCGAAGTAAGAACTTTGCTGGTTTTGACGTTTTGTTTCCTGGTCGATCCACAAGGATCCATGTCCCATTTCGCTACAGAGACTCATACTCTGCTCGCATTGCCTCTTTCCACTCTTGCCTCTATGGTAATTTAAGAACTTCTTTTCCATTGTGGTTTGTTCAATTTTACTAAGGTCTTTTGACATTACCTGATAAGCGCTCACCCTGAAATTTACTCGCATTAAACGCGTTGACCTTCTCATAGGTTCTTGTGAAGAAAAAGTGACATTCGCCGGTTGTTGTGACGATGCACTTTTTGTGGGTGCATGGGTTCGAGCAGATGCATTTGCATTGTGCGGTACTGATCTTGTCAATTCAGATCCCTCTACTCCTTGTGCCATCGTCCGCAAGTGGTGTGATGAGTCTACTTCTACATCCACCTCTGACATGTCACTAATCCACAATTTCGCTTCTCCTATAACATGCGTGCCATTGTTAGCCGCTCATTCCCTGTGTCCTGCAGTAACTGCTTTAGGTATATCTGCTCCCAATGTATGTGCTGCACCACTACGCACACCTTCACTCGCCGCATAATTCACTGGCAGAGGTACAAACGTAATATTCTCACCCGCACTATCCTTTCATAACAACAGAAAAATGCTGCTTGCTCACTGTTATATCTTCAATAAATTGAACCACCCGAGCTTCCACAATATCGCCGGTCCTCAGATTCAGCAATTGATATCCAGTCATGACCTTGGAGAATCCGAGAAGCAGGCCTGGATCTGGCTTTTGGCTCAGCTTCATATTTTGTTTCTCCGTTGTTACATGCATGAAGTGTAACGGGGCACCCTGAAGCTTGTACTGGTGACAGTACAAGCTACTTATTCTGATAACAGAATAAGGCGGTGCCTCGTAACTTCACGTACACTCGTACGTGCAGAGGAAGACGGTAAGAAGAAGCGAGTACTCGGTTAGAGTAAAAAGTAGAACTGTATTTATAATAGTTAATGTCTGCAATAAATCACTATTTATCTTCATCTAACTATGTCTAAATACAAATGTGTAAATCAGTTATCTGCTCACCACTCATTGCGTGCGTCTGCCGTGGCGCGTCTTCGTTGGTTGATATAATGGCCTATATCAACCAATTAGGAACTACTTGGAAGTGCTACAGAATATTGTCCTTATGACAATATTCTGAGAATATAACTCTTATAGTTATATTCTATTAACAATTTCTTATAAATTGTTATGTAACGATTCACCCCGTTACATCACCCCCCCCTTTACCATCAGTCACTTTAGTGACTGATTGACTAAATGGATACTCGTCCCAAATCATTTGGGACGGGGTTTGCACTTGTTGGTCCGCGTCCACTTTCCAACATCTCATCGCATGGTAAACAAGCCCATGCGATGCGCGAGCAAGGCCGCCGAGAGCGCGTCTGCACGTCTCTGTGCGGACGCCGAAGCAGAAACTACAGCAACTGATGTCCCATCGGTTGCTGAATCGACTCAGCCTGTATCACCTGGTGATGCAGGCGCTGGTCATGAAGACACTCGTGTCTTCACAGAGTACGAGCTCGGTGTCTCGTACTCTCCTGATACGGATGACGGATCCGTATCGACGGCAATTGAATCCAAGCCGCCTGCCAAGCGTGGCATGGACGATGCTTTGCGTCGCAGCATCTTTGGTTCATCTGATGAGTCAGATGAACCATCGCCGAAGCGAAGGCGCTCGAGGTCGCGAGACTCGGGCGCTAATAGTGGTGTCGTTTCTCCAATGGACACCACTTCACAGCGAGGTGCCAGTACTTCTGTCGGCACGTCGCAGGAAGAGCGGGACCGCAATGTGTTGCGTCTCGCTCCAGAAAAGAAGGCATGGATGCCTCCTAAATCTGTCATGGATCACTTGTCGGCGACGACGAGTGATCGTTATCGAACACGATTGTTCGATTCGTCGAGGATTCATCACCTTGACCCCAGCGCGAAAGACTATCGCGCTGAACATGAGTTCTTCATCGATGCTTTCTTCAGACATCGATGGTACAGTGGGAATCACAAACGTGATGGTCCCTCACTACTTCAGGCGTGGAACGCCTACATCCATAATCTCGAGGATGTAGGTCGTGACGCTTGGAACGACAAACTTATCAAAGCTCGTGATAAGTTTGAGAAAGAACCCCGACAGGTGCACGCTACAAGCTGCATCGTCTGTCAAGGGAGAAAGGATTACCCTGCCTCTCTTGGGGAGACTCGTGCCCATGTTGTGTGAACAACTCTGCACGAGCACCTAAGGAGGCTTACCTCCTTACCAGCCCGTGGTGGCGCGTACGTGTCTCTACTGAGATGTACGAAGGGATTGACAACCTGAAATCCCTTAACGACCGTGCCGGGAAGACTTTCTCCGGCGGTCCTTCTGCGGCACGGGATGTGCCGCGTCGTACTGCTTGATCAGACTCAGTACGTCAATCATCAATTGGGAGCGAGGCTCCCAAGTATCCCAGGACGAGGGATAACCGCGCCACCGGACGAGGTAACTCATCCGACGTCCGTTCACGTCGCGGTGGTTCAACAGCTGCTCTACTAGATAGCGCTGGCCACCGCGAGAGTCCTCTAATGGAGGTGGAGGAGGAGGAAAGACACTCTCCACACGATCATGTGGATCGGTGTGTTCCCGAGAGCTTCTTTGATCGCGTAACGCAAGGGTTACGCGACGATCTCGAGCATGAGCGGAATAGGCGTCTCCAGATGGTGGACACTGCCTCGAAGCATCGAGCTGAGTTTGCCTTTGCTCAGCTTGAGAACGAGAGATCTCTGACATCTCTTCGTGACGAGCTAAGGGTAGCTCGTGGGATTGTTGATCGGTCTCGGGCTGAGATAACTGCTCTTCAGACCCTTGTTGATGCCCACCATCGGGAGCACAAGGCTCTCTGCGAGATGCTTGAGCGCAAGGGCGTTCTTCATCGGAAGAAGCAGCGTACTGATGGTACGGCTTAAGCCGACCAACGTAAAACGTGGGATGCGTTCGCATCTTACGTGGTAACTCGATCGTGTATGCATTGCCTAGGCGGTGCAATACACGAAATGGGCCAATGTACTTGGGTAGTAGTTTACTGCTACCCAAGTTAGTCACTACATGTTTTGGTAGATTAACCGTAGACAGTAGGACTAAGTCACCTTTATTAAATAAAAGAGTGTTTGCCCTTCCATTCTTGTCAGCGTTTTGCTTTTGCTTATCCACCGCTTCGGCGATGGAGTCTTGCACAAAACGGACTACCGTTTCACGAGCCAGTATGAACTCATCTGATGACTCGTTAGCTTCAGTGTGCTGTGAGCGCACTGCAGCGACAACAATCTTTTCTTCAGTGAGGGCTTCCGCACTCTCACTGGGATCATTGTCTTCAGTGAGGGCTTCCGCACTCTCACTGGCATCATCTTCTTCGATATCGATGTTATCGATATCGGCATCAAACGCAATGACTTCTTCGTCAGAGCGTGATGAGCGTGAACCAAATCGGTTTTTGCTCGCGCGAGTCCCTCCCCCCTTAAACCAGAGTTACACTCTAGTAAGGTGGGTACACGCGGATGGCGCAAGCCATTCACGTAAAACGGTGTATGTGTCGTGGACGCATGCACCGAGTTGTTGATGGCAAACTCTACCATCGGCAAAAACTCACTCCAACTCTTAAAGGAGTGTACGTATCCTCGAAGTATCTCTTCAAGGACACGATTGGCACGTTCCGTCTGACCATCTGACTCTGGATGATCAGATGTTGACATCTTCAAGCGCGTTCCGAGTGATTTGAACACGGAACGCCAGAAATCAGCAGTGAATCGTGGATCTCTGTCTGATACGAGTTCACGGGGCAACCCATGAAGTCGGAAGATGGTGTCAATAAAGACACAAGCACAGCCACTTGCCGTGATTGTCTCTGGTACAGCCACAAGGTGTACCATTTTGCTGAATCTGTCAACAAATACGAGAATACCCGTATTCCCGCGTGCGTCTTTGGGTAACCCGAAGACGAAATCCATTGAGATGGATTCCCAGCACTCAGCCGGAACCGGTAGAGGCTGTAAAGATGCACGCAGTGAAGGACTTGACTTCACTCGTTGGCAGACTTCGCATGCGCGAACATACTTTCGCACAAACTGATACTGGCGGGGCCAGTAAAAGTCTCGACTTACCGTGAGATATGTTTTCTCTCGGCCACGATGTCCTCCTATAGGAGCATCGTGATACTCGAACATGATCCGCAAACGCAGATCAGTATCATCTGGAATGACAACACGTGGTGTGTCACCAGAAACGGCTGTATAGTACAGTAAACCGTTACGAGTAGTGTATCGATCTGATGCAGATCGATACGCAGACGACAATCGTTTCAACGATTCTCGAGATGGTTGGGAGAGATGTGACAACAACTTCACTATCTCACCATCTTGGGCGTATGCCCACCTCACATCATCATACAACGTTGTAGATGGAACTGAGGACGTCATAACCGCAACAGTGACTGTCTCACTGTTGGGTTTCGCGACTGTTTCAAAGTCGGGACGACGTGAGAGCGCATCAGCGACGACATTAAGTCGTCCTGGTTTGTACTCGACCGTAAAGTTGTATTCTGCAAAGAATGACAACCACCGCGCCATTCGTTGTGAAAGGTGCGGGCTGTTCACTGCCGTGCGTAAGGACGCATGGTCAGTGTAAACAACGAAGGGTCTATCTCCTAATAGATAGACTCTGAACTTCGCGAGTGCATACTTCATGGCAAGGAGTTCCTTGTCATGCACTGGATAGTTCCGCTCAGCTGGTTGCAGCTGACGCGACTGATAGCAGACGACGCGTTCAACGCCTTCAAGGTCGTACTGCATTAATGCACAGCCGATTGCGAAATCGCTGGCATCACAGACCACATGAAATGGCCTGTCCTGATCGGCTATTGCTAGGACTGGGGATTGTATCAAGCTCTGCTTGATACCCTCAAAGGAGCGTTGACATTCAGCGTTCCATAACCACCTCTCGTTCTTTTTCAACAAACGAGAGAGGTGTACAGTCATCTCGGCGTAATTGCGTGAATACTTATGCAAATACGCCACTAGCCCAAGGAATTTTCGAAGACCTTTGACATCGACCGGCACGGGCCAGTCGGTGATCCCCTTGATCTTTTCGGGATCAGGACGTACACCGTTCTTACCAACGATGCACCCAAGAAGTGGTATTTCGCTTGCTGCAAATATACACTTCTTGAGGTTTGCATACAATTGATGCTTTCGCATGATTGTAAGAACTTGTCGGACGTGGTACTTGTGAACCTCAACGTCCGACTTTCCATCCATAGCTCGACTATGGATGAATACGTCATCGAAATAACTCGGCGCGAATTCTCGTACTGGCCTCAACAGATGTGATACACACCTGTTGAACGTGGCAGGGGCATTACTGAGCCCTTGTGGCATTACTAGCCATTCCCAGAGCATGCCGCTAGGCGTGCTAACTGCGGTATAGGGTATATCCCGTTCCCGCATTAGGATTTGATAGAAGCCATCCATCAAATCCATGGACGAAAAGATGGTACTCTTTGACATACCATCAATGATTACGTCCTTCCTCGGTATCGGCGTCTGAGCCGGTACCGTTGCAGCGTTCAATTTGTTAAACGCGTGCACTATCCGCCACCCTCCTGTTGCTTTTCGCACACAGAAGGTCGGAGAGCTATGTGGGGAAGTTGATTCCCTCACATGGCCCGCTGCTAAACGATCGGCAAAGAACTTGTCGATCGCAAGTACTTGTTCACGAGGCAGTGGCCACTGCTTCATGACACAGTACTTCGAGCCTGGTTTAAGCTCGACTTCGTGTCGAATACCTTTATCCTTCGGTAATTCGCACGGAACAGTTTCAGGGAATACATCCTTGAATTCAACCAAATCTTCATAGAGAGGATTTTCCTTGAGCGATTCCCATGATTGGGACTCATATCGCTCAATTCGTGTCTTTTCATCTAGGACACTCTCGTCCATAGATGAACTACTGAGAACTCTCTCGTTCTCAGTAAACACTGTTGCTGACCTTATGTCGGTTACATACTCGTCTTCAGCGACGAGTATGCAGATCTGCTTGACTTTGCCACTATGCAGATCACGCAAGAATCTTTTATGTTCGAGCGTTGGCAACTGAGTGATCTCCGAAGTTAACTTCGGAGGCGCAATCAGATCAAGTGTATAAGCGCCTACACATGATCCGTTATTGACTATGACATTCAATGTCTCTGTCATTTCCTGGGGACTTATTCCCTCAGGCTTCGAAGGACTTATTCCTTCGTCTTCCCGGGGACTTATTCCCGCGGGTTTCGGGGAACTTATTTCCGCCGTATTTGTAATCTTGGGACTTATTCCCTTTACTTCCTCTAGCTGGGGTTGCGCAACCACAGCGAGATCCTCTACGAAAGACTCTCCAGTCGATCTAGGATTATCGTTTCGCTTAACCTGAGCGATCGATTGTTTCTCTTCTAGATGTTCCCCTCTAGGGATACATCTTTGTCCCAGTCCACCCGACTTATTCGAGTGGTGGACCTTCGGCGCAGCCTGTGTTTCCTCACAGCCGCCGGAACTTTGCTCCGAAGTGTAACCGTTTGGTACACTAAGGTTTTGTGCAGTCGTACTAACGACCGTACCACAAGTGAGGCCATCGCACTCACTCGTAGTACATCCACACGCTTGTGGACGCTCCAAAACGTTCATCAGATGGCCATCTGATGAACAAGCGGCAGGCATCGTTACTGTCCGATGTTGCCAGTTTACCCGTGGTTCGTACCTTCTGAGCCACGGTATTCCAAGGATGACATCAAATTTGTCATCCAAATCCAATACGATAAAGTCATCGTCGTATTGGGTATCTTCTAGCGTATAGTGAATCTTCACTATACGCTTCATGACGGTTACGGATGCGCCTGTCGCAAGACGTACCGTCATCCTCGTAGGAGGTGTGTCACATTCACTGAAGTAAAAGTGACCATCTTCTGGCAATTGGCGTCGTACAAAATTGTTGGACGCCCCACAATCGACTAGAGCTCGAAGGGACAACTTATTCGTCACTTCGAGTTTCAAGGTAATGAGTGAGATCTCATTACCTAGAGCAGCAACGCACAATGTCTGTGTGTTAGGAGCAACCTTCATCAAGAGGCCTACAAATTCTCTTGACGTTGCTGGATCAGTAGGGTGCTCCGCACCTACTGATCCTGTCCGTTTTTTGACGGTCCATCCCGTTGTTGCGTCTTTGCACCAACTGCGGACCCTCGTCCCTGCCCCTTTCTCATGGGTGGACGGTCACTACGCCCAGTGTCGCGAGACACTGGACGAGGGGCACTACACTCGTAAGCGTAGTGTCCTGTCTTTTGACATCTGTTGCATCTCTGCAACTTCTTGTAGCCTGTAGAGCGAGCCTTCTCGCTCTCTACATAACAGAGTTCCATCGGCTCTGGACCTCCGTTGTCATATCGTCTCGGTTGACGATATGATGTCGAGCTGGCGCGAGCCTGTCTCAGACTGAAGTCTTCCTGATCCGCAATGGAAATGGCTTGTTCTAGTGAATCTAGTTCAAGCCGGAACAGGTGAGTCTTGACGGGACCATCCGCAAGACCCTGCATGAACACCGAAACCAACGTGTGTTCATCCACCGGATTGGAACTTATACAACTCGTGAGATGTCGTATATGTTGAGCGTAAGCGTGCACATCACGCTTACCCTGCTTGAGCTTCAAGAGTTCGGTTCGAGCTCTGAACTCAGCTCTAGGCGGTTCAAACGTTTGTCTGAGCCGCGACTTGAAGACTTCCAACGACCCAAACGCGTATGGGTCGTGCAGCTTGAGCCCCAGTGCCCAAGTCTTGTCACGTCCTGCCAGATTTGACTGGGCAAATGCAACTTGCATATCCCCGTCGTCGATGCGACGCGCCCTTATGGCGTCATCCAATTCGACGAACCATCTCAAGAGGGAGTCTTCTTCGACCCCCCCTATACTTTGAGATGTCAATCTTCAAAGTCTCGGGCCGACGCGAGTGCATCGACCCGCCAGCAGCAGCCTGCTGCTGTCTCAACAGTTCAAACTGTTGAGCACCTTGTTCTCTCAACAACTCTGCTTGTTGAGAACCTTGTTGGTGAAGCAAGGCTACTTTCTCGCGTTCTGCGTCAAGTTCATTTTGAATGAACTTGGCGATAGTAGCATGTTGGGCATCTCTATTGAGAGCCTCTAGCATGACGCTAACAGCATGGATGCCCATGGTCGAACCCATTCGTTCAACCGCATCCCATTCGACATCGCTCAAATGGGAGTAGCCGTCACGCGTAGCGTGAAAGCTTTGGTCATCTTCATCATCCAACATATTCATGTTGGATGTGAACGCGGTCCTTGGACGGACTACGAAGTGCTACCAGGTGTAACGGGGCACCCTGAAGCTTGTACTGGTGACAGTACAAGCTACTTATTCTGATAACAGAATAAGGCGGTGCCTCGTAACTTCACGTACACTCGTACGTGCAGAGGAAGACGGTAAGAAGAAGCGAGTACTCGGTTAGAGTAAAAAGTAGAACTGTATTTATAATAGTTAATGTCTGCAATAAATCACTATTTATCTTCATCTAACTATGTCTAAATACAAATGTGTAAATCAGTTATCTGCTCACCACTCATTGCGTGCGTCTGTCGTGGCGCGTCTTCGTTGGTTGATATAATGGCCTATATCAACCAATTAGGAACTACTTGGAAGTGCTACAGAATATTGTCCTTATGACAATATTCTGAGAATATAACTCTTATAGTTATATTCTATTAACAATTTCTTATAAATTGTTATGTAACGATTCACCCCGTTACATGAAGCCAATAGATCCGCATAACTTGATTTTACTGACATCAGGCTTGCATCCGAACATCTTTTCTGATGGTTTGTCCCATTCAGTGCTCGTGTTGTAGTTCTGTTGTCAATGTCGACAATGTAGCAAAACACTTCTGGCCACATTTTCGTCGGAAAATCAGCAACATGCATTGCTAATCGCATCTTTTTTATCAATACGCCTTTGAGTTTTTCAACGAGTGCATTTTGTTTTGGTACATAAGCATGTGAGGGTATAAACCGGTAAATTCGATTTCCTTTCGCCAGACGTTCGATGATGAGATGGATAATGTTCCCCCTAGATTAAGACTTTATTTTAATCTGGTAACACCACATCTATCGTTAGCCCTCGTCTTGTATCATCTAAAATTATCGGTCTCTTTTCAATCCGGTTAAACGCTTACCCATATCACAGACATCTGACATGAGTCGTTCATAGTTAACCTTGGTACTTTTTCTGCTGCGCTGGCCTCGTACGGAATTTTTTTACACTTGGCCGACAAGCACCTTATGCATGAGAATTAATGCTTGAAAAGCTTTTTATGTAAAAAATCTCTTGGACAACGTTCTAGTGACACTCGAAGTGCGGCACCAGAACATTGTCAAGGGATTATTTACAGAATAGTATTGGAGAAAGTGGCCTTTATATCCACAATGATAACACTTGACCTAGTCATCTTCTTGGCAAGCGTATTGTGTCCTGACTCCTCCGACTTAGTGTAAATATTCATCCCCACGGCTCTTGAGTTGGCGTTGACCGTTGCTGTAGCTTCTTTAACTGTTAATGTAACGGGGTAGCCTGTTACACAAAATTGACACCGAAAGGTGTCAATAGATGGATTGGCTAGTATGACAATTCCCTATCATTTTTATGCGAGATGGACAACATTGAAGGTCCATAATCTTTGAGGATTATGCTCATGCGATGCTCAAAGATTGGCTGATATAAGACATACCAACCAAAGATTACCACCAATCGCTGCTAGACGCGCGCAATAAGTGGTGAGCAGGTTGTCGTCATACGATGACGTAGTTTAATATAGTTAGACAAAGATTAAAGTCATATTAATAGCTTAACTTTATTAAATATAAATCTCTGTTTACCCTTTACTCAAACGAGCTGTTTGAGAATATTATCTCCCTCTGCACGTACTAGTGTACGTGAAGTTTCGCGGCAGCTCAAACAAAGGCTGCACCTTTACACTTGGTAGCACTTCCTAGTCCGTTTAACGACTAATTTGTGTCCGTCCAACATGATCATGCTGGACGTAGACGACGACAGCTTCCGCGTCACACGTGAAGGCTACTCCCATCTGAGTGACTCAGAATAGGAGGTAGTCGACCGCTTGAGTGATCTCATGGGCGAGCCCGTCATCAGTGGTATGTTGGAGTCTCTAAGCAGAGACCAGCAACATTCTGCTATCAGCAAGTTCCTACAAGGGAACTTGCCGCCGAAAGACAGAAGATATCCTTGCTACAGCAGCAAGTCTCTCATCAGTCGATGGGCGGGCAGACGCACATGCGTCAAACAGAAACCTTGAAGATCAATGTCTTAACGTACAAGGGAACCGATGAACATTCCCTGTTGAGATGGTTCGTCGAGTTAGACGACGCCATCAGGGCCCATCACATCGAGGGTGACGAGATGCAAGTCGCCTCCGCCGTGTCAAATTTGACGGGACCAGGAAAGACTTGGGCCTTAGGGCTCAAGCTTCACGGCCCAAACGTGTTTGCGTCGTTATAGATCTTGAAGTCTCGGCTTAAAGAGAAGTTTGAGCCGCCGAGAGCCGAGTTCAGAGCAAGCTCTGTACTCTTCAGGCTAAAGCAAGGTAAGCGTGATGTGCATGCTTACGTACAACACCTCCGCTACCTTGCGAGTAGCGTTACGGAGAACCCTGTTGATGAGCACACGCTCATCAACGTGTTCATCTATGGCCTTGTAGATGGACCGGTGAAGACCTACATGTTCCAAGAGGATTTCCATGCGCTTGAAAGGGCGATAGCGTATGCGGAACAAGAAGACTTTAGCCTGAGACAGTCTCAGGCTAACTTGTCAGACTATCGTCCGACGAGACGACAGGAAACAGGAGGTCCCGGCCAATGGACCTCTGTTGCATCGAAAGCAAAACTCTCGCTCTCTGAGTTACAAGCGAACGGCAAGATGCCATCGCTGTCAGAAGATTGGGCACTACGCACATGAGTGTAGTGTCCCAAGCACCGCAAAGACAGGACGTGATGACCGCCGTTGGCCGAGGAATGATCCAAGGCGCGGAACCGACCATGTAGATGAACCACGACAGCAAGTCGGACCGCCAAAAAAACGGTCAGGGTCAGTAGGGGCGGAGCAACCTGCTGAATTAGCAACGCCAAGAGAATTTGCAGGACGCTTGACGAAGATTGCTCACAACACACAGTCGCTGTGTGTTACTACCCCTAGAGATGAGGATCCCTCATCACTTTGAAGATCAAAGTGACAAATGGAATGCCACTTCGCGCCCTAGTTGACTGTGGGGCGTCGAGCAATTTTATTCGACGCCTGTCGCTAAACGATAGTAGATCTAACTATGTTGAGCGTGAGTTCCCTCCAGCGAGGATGACGGTGTGCCTTGCAACAGGCGCATCCGTGACAGTGGACAAACTTGTAGTGGGAATCCACTACACGCTAGAAGGAAAGCAGTACGATATTGGCTTTATCGTACGAGATTTGGATGACAAATTTGGTGTCATCCTCGTTCTGCCATGGCTTAGAAAGTACCAGCCATGGATCAGCTGGTAGCATCGATCCGTGAAGATGCCTGCCGTTTGTTCATCGGATGGCCATCTGATGAACGTCTTGGAATGTCCACAATCGTTTGGATGTACTACGAGTGAGTGCGATGGCCTCACTTGTGGTACGGTCATCAGTATGACTGCACAAGATCACAGTGTAGAAGGCCACTACACTATAGAACCAGCTTCCGGCACCTGTGTAAAGACACAGGCTGCGCCGAAGGTTCACCACCCGAAGAGATCGAGTGGACTGGAACACGGATGCACATCAAGAAGGATGCATCCTAGAAGAGAGACTAGTGTCGTTCAGGATGAACAGCACGTTGAAGCAAGATCAACTATCAGAGAGCCGGTCGTAGAGCAAACCCGATCGACTGAAAGAGATTCGATCGAAGAGGACGTGACCGTGTTTTTACACTCACAGTCATTACACGTATTGGAAGAAAGTTCCAGCGTTCTTGAGAGTGATAAGTACCGAGAGACTTATGTTAAAAGTGTGTTTCCCCAACCACCTGCGGATGTGTTTTCCAGGAGATCACTGAGTCAGTGAATGTATTGGTAAAGACGGATTTAGTATAGGCTTATACGCTTGGTCTATTTACACCTCCGAAGCCAGTTTCGGAGGTAGTCAAGTTGCCAACGCTAGAATCTAAAGGATTTTTGCAAAATCTGCGTAGTGTCAAGTTTAAGCAGATCTGCGTACTCGTCACAGAGGACGAGTACGTCGCCGATGTTCGGTCGGCACAAGTATTTACTGAAAACAAACGGTTCTCAGTAGCTCATCGATGGATGAGAGTTTCATCTATGAAAAGACCCGGATTGAGGGATAAACGTCGTAAGCTTGGGAGCCTTTGAAAACAAATCCTTTGCATAGAGGATTTGGTCAAAGTCAGGGATGTTTCCTGAATCCGTGCCCTGAGAGCTGTCTGAGGGCAAGGGCATTCGACATGAGATCGAACTGAAACCCCGTTCGAAGTACTGTGTCATGAAGCAGTAACCACTGCCTCGTGAACAGGTCACAGCAATCGACCAACTCTTTGCCGATCGCTTAGCTGATGGTCATGTGAGGGCACCAACATCCTCAATTAGCTCCTCGACCTTCTGTGTGCGAAAGGCCTCAGGAGGGTGGCGTATAGTGCACGCGTTCAACAAATTAAAAACTGCAAAGGTACCGGCTCAAACGCAGGTACCAAGGAAGGACGTCATCATTGATGGTATGGCAAAAGTACCATCTTTTCGTCCATGGATCTAATAGATAGATTCTATCAGACCCTCGTGCGTGAACAGGATATTCCTTACACAGCAGTGAGCACCTCCAGTGGTATGCTCTGGGAGTGGCTAGTAATGCCACAGGGGCTAAGTAACGCCCCCGCAACGTTCAACAGATGTGTTACGAAGCTGCTGCGATCGGTACGAGATTTTTCACCGAGTTACTTTGACGAAGTCTTCGTCCATAGCCGGGATATGGATGGAAAGATGGATGTGGAGGTTCATAGAATCCACGTCCGTAAGGTTCTTACACTGATGAGAGAGCATAAGTTGTTCGCGAGCCTCACGAGGTGTATATTTGCAGCGGGCGAATTACCACTTCTTGGATGTATCGTGAGTAATCACGGCTTACGCCCTGATCCAGAAAAGACCGAGGCGATTAGCGACTGAACTTTGCCAGCCGACGTCGAGGGACCCCGAAAGTCCCTTGGCTTAGCGGCGTACCCTCACGAGTACTC